GGGAGCTTCCTGCTACCAGAGGTTCTTGTGCATTAAGGTTAAAGGGCGATTAAGGTCACATTCTCCGTTGGGAACGAGATAATAACATAAGAGTGGCGTGCCTGTTTGTAAGTGCGTGAGCGAGTTAGGAAAGGTGGGTTAGTGAGTTTGAGTATGTATTATATATTTGAGACAGCGCGTATGTTCGTGTATGTGCGTGCATATGTGTGTGTGAGAGAGTTTGTGTGTGTGTGTGTGTGTGTGTGTGGTATTTATGAAGCGTGTTCATCAGTGTAATATGATTAATAGAGTGAATGAAACAATGGCTAAGAAGTTGGAGTAAAAGGGAGAGCGGGGGCAGAGATAGAAAGTGTGAGAGCAAGAGAGAGAGAGAGAGAGAGAGAGAGAGAGAGAGAGAGAGAGAGAGAGAGAGAAAGAAAGGGGGCAAGAGAGAGAAAGAGAGAGAGAGAGAGAGGGAAGGGGGATCCAAGAAAACATAAAGGAAAAAGGAGTGAATCTCTAAGTCTTGTTGGATTCGAGTACACAACACGCCAACAACAAATTATTTTAACACCCTCATTAATTCTCCGCGCACATCTCAGAACAATGATACTCTAAACCGTAGTACAAAGGTAGAAAAATAATACCCCAATAAACCTACCATCCACCCGCAAATGGATAAGTAGAAATAAGGGAGTCTAGGTTGTGAACACGTCCCATACTTGTTTTACTGTATGTTTTTTTTAATGTTTTAAATTAGTTTTTTCATTTTTATTTCAGGTGGTTTTAACCATACAAATAAGATCATTTAGGAGGCAGGCTGAAAGTGATTAAACGTCGCATCAAAAAGAATGATATGCTCAATAGAAATTCTCCTCACACGGCAATCGAACTCGGGTCTTCTTCGCCCTGTCGACGAGGAGCCTAACCACTACATCACAGACGCCGGGGTTTTATTTGTATTATGTTGGTGCGTTTGGAAGAAAGACGTAATTTATATCAATACAATTTTTTTTCCTTGCGCGTTTGC